ACCCACAAGCATCACATAAAGCGCTGAAAAGAGAATATTGCTTATTGCTTATGCACTAGACAAAGAGTCCATTGTCTCACAACATTCCAGACTCCCATAGGCAGACATAGGTGGTTGAGATTACCTTTTGGTCTCAATGTAAGTAGTGAGATTTTTCAGAAATGCCTGAACAATGCTTTGGAAGGTCTGAATGGAGTAGGATGTGTTGCAGATGACATTTTAATATATGGTATTGGTGATAAACAAGAAGATGCAAATAATGATCATGAAAAGAAGGTGTATAAATTGTTAGAGAATTGTAGAAAAATAGGAATAATTCTGAATAAGAGCAAAACTGTATTGAGAAGTTCAGAAACAAAATTTTTAGCACTCATTATTTCAAAGAATGGTATTTAAGAAGACCATGATAAGGTGACATTAATTACAATGTAAAGCCACCAACCAATGTTATAAAAATTTAGAGGTTATCAGGAATGCTTAATCATCTAGCTAGATTTTAGTCATAATGGAATCCTTGTGGAGACTAACAACCAAAGATGTACAATGGCAATGGGGACCAGAGCAAGTAAAAGCCTTTTCCCACATTAAGGAGTTATTGACAAGTAAACCAATGCTGGCATATTATGACCCAAACAAACATTGAACAATTCAATGCAAAAGGATATGGTGCAGTTTTATTGCAAGAAGGCAAACCATTATGTTATGCTAGCCGAGCTCTAACTCTGACCGAGACAAAATGTGCTCAAATAGAGAAAGAAATGTTAGCTAGTTTTTGCACTCAAGAAATTTCATCAATATACTTTTGGAAGGTTTACCAAAATCATTAGTGACCATAAGCTCTTACAGGCTATAATGAAGAAACCATTGAAGTAGAGTATCAGCCAGAAATGATATGCATGTTGCAGATTACTTGTCCAGGAATTATTTGCCAGAAAATTGAGGGGGACAAGAATTTGAAAACATTAATATGTTATCGCTTGTACCCACACAGTCTATTAGATTGCAAAAGATTCAAAGGGCAACATTAGATGATAAAATAATGAATTTAACAGAGAGAATTGTAGAAGGATGGTCTGGTAGTAGAGAGAATCTTGCGTGTCAGTTATCACCATGCTATAATAATAGAGATGAGTATTCTTTACAGAAAGGACTAATTTTCATAGGAGAGGGAATTGTTATACCTAGAGAATTACAACCTGAGATCAAAGAAGCCACACATTCATCACATGTTGAAGGATGTTTAAGACATGCCAGGGAATGGGTTTATTGGCCAGGAATGAATGCTAAGATCAGACTGTATGTATCCCATTGTGAAACCTGTAACAAATGTACTGATTCTCAATGTAAAGAAACTCGTAACTCATGAGATATGTGAAAGACCATGGGATTAGGTTGAGTTGATTTATTCTAATTCAAGAATTATAATTTTCTTGTAACAGTTGATTATTTCAGTAGTTTAGGGGAGACTGATAGATTGAAAAGAACATCAGCCAATTCAGTAATTAAAAAGTTGAAAGCTCATCTTGCAAAGTAAGGTATTCCTTCCATTGTAGTAAGTGACAATGAACCACAGTTCAGATGTGAGGAATTTAAGAATTTTGCTAGAATTTGTGATATTAATCATCAAACAAGTAGACCACATTATCCAAAGTCAAATAGTATAGCAGAATCAGCAGTTAAACAGCCAAGAAATTGATTAGAAAAGCCATGGATTGTTGTAAAGATCATTATTTAGCTATAGTAGATCATTGAAATACCCTATATGGGTATGTGAATCTTAGTTCAGCTCAACTTAGTTTGGGAAGAAGAACCAGAACACTATTACCTATGTCTCAAACTTGTAAGACCATAAGGAATTAATGTTAAAGTCCAAAAGAAAAAGAAAAAGATAAAAAAAAGTGCTAAGTATTATAACAAACATGCAAAAGATTTCAAATCATTGCAAGAAGGAGACAGTGTGTGCACTGAACCATCGGTATTAGGTGATCAGGTTTGGAAAAAAGGTACTGTAAATAGAAAGATAAATGAAAGGTCATATGAGTTGAGTTAAATGGAGTACTGAGAAAAAAGAGAGTGCATTTAAAGAAAACAGATAAAAACAAACAGTGTGATATACAACCTGGTGTCACTGAGCAACATAGAAATATAAAAAGAAATGACACTTATGTACGCAATAATACACAGTGTGAAAGCCAAATAAATTATAAAATAAGTGACCATGAACCAAAGTATAACTTAAGGCCATATAGAAATAGATTACCAGTGAAGTTGAAAGCCTATGAGTTAAACTAGAAATCCAAGTTTAATTTTGTAATCTCTATGACTTTGGAAATGTACTTTTAAACACAAAAGAATTATATGCTTGCAGAGCAAGATGTATTTTGATGGAATATTGATGTTTATTTTCAGTTATGATTGTATTGTAACTAATGAAGGCAAAGAAGCTATCTCAGTTTGCCTTAGATTTATTTTGTAATATTGTAAAACATTTATTTTCAAAAGAGAAGGGATGTTCTAAGTATTCATAAATCATGACAATTTACCTAATGTGTTTTCTGTTATCCAAGTTGCAGTGTAACCACTCTTTGGTGGCTGAGCCCACATGGAGCCTTCTATATGTAACAAAATTCACATTGGGTTAAAAAACAGCTATTCCCCCTACCTCATCAATGACTGCAAGAAGGTTAAACAAGTGAACAACCGTTTAATGCACTCACAGAACAGCTCAAGTAGATATATGTGACTTGGATATGAAATTTACATTATGATATTCTAGACTCAAGATTTAATGCACCTGAACTAGGAAAGATTACATATAACTCATAAAGATTATATCTGTAAACAAAGTATATATAATAAAAAACATTGTATAAAAACATAACCTTAAAACTGCTCACCATTTCTCAATATATTATGATTTTTTTCCCAAAAATCTGCTGAATCAGATAATCCAGAACTGGTTCCAAACAGAAAATACATCCTACAGAAATTTACCATAAAATATTCAGGGCTGTACAAAAATTAAAGAACCTAGTTCCATCTCTGCATCTACATATTCCCAA